GCATTACACCATGTGAATTGTCGTCCTATCATGGGTAAATCAATGAGCTCCAAATTTTCAATGAACTGATTAAATTCCTTCATCCCTTTATTTCTTCTTGAACACCCCATTCTTTCCCCAGGATTTCTTATTTCATTGAAATCACCAATTATACACCAGGGGCTGCGAAACATAAGTTTTAACCTACTTAAAACACTCAAAAATTTACCTCTTTCATTCACTTCGTTTGGTGCATGAACATTAACAGTAACTCAATTGAAATCTGGAAAAAGAGTCCCTGAAAGTATAATACATTGCCTTATACTACAGCACTGAGAAAGTCTAAACACATATGGCTTCCAATGCACAACAGCCCCCCTGCCCTCTTTTCGGCATCGACAACCATATACTCCAACTCATCATCAGGCCAAAGAGACTTGAGGAATACTAATGAAACATCAGATTTCTTTGTCTCCTAGAAGCAAGCAAAATCAATTTTCTTTTCCTTAAGAAAAGACTTGACCTTCTTCCTCTTTCCGGCTTTACCCAGACCCCTAACATTCCATGATAAGAGCTTCATTAATCCACTTTGCAACACACCATGAACCCCCAATTACTTAGCAAATCAGTTGGGCAAATTATTCACCACAGGAATTTCTACATTCCTGGGTAATACCCTTTCTTTATCATTGACTTCCATATCCTTTACTTTTCTAATCATTTCCTATTCCTTTCTACCAAAACATATACCTAGTGCTTTGCCCATACTAATTGTTGTTTCTGCCTCCTCTTGTATTGCCTTGTCAACATTAGAAAGCTTTCCATTAAGCTTTGGTGTAGCCTTCAACCTAGGCAGATCTTTACTTGAGTCTCTACCAAATGACCCCGATCTTGCACTTATCCCAGCATTTGCTCTGAACACAGCTCCTCTACTCCAGCTGCCCATGGCCTCTGCACTTCCTTTCCTCTCCTTGCTACCACCCTTTTCTTTTTGTTAGTTATCCACCAAATGCCGAATAGCTATATTACCTCCATTGCTCCTAACCAACTTTTTCCTCTGTTTTACCTTTCCTATTTTCAACCCAGTATTTCTTCGGATGAAAGTGGGTTAAATAGATGTTGAATCAACCCCGATGTCTTGCCCCAAAGACATTGAGTTATCCAAGCCCACTCTGATGGACTTACTTCTACTTTCAATAGGCCCATTTGTTAACCCAACCAATTTAACTTCCAATTCTATTCCACCTTTGTCAGGCCCATCTCCACTTACGCTTCTCATGTACCCATTAACAGCTCCCCTTCTTCCTCATTGACTTTATTAATTAGCTGTTCAGCATTCAAAATCTGTTGGTTGATTCCTTCACATGCATTAACCATCATACGACTTCCCAGGCCCGCGCCCGCCGTTTCTTCCACTACCGATGTACAGTAATCAACAGGTAAAACTTATGCCACCTCTACAACTTTGTGAGCCATCTCAGCCGTAGAAGATTTTAGCTCATCAGCACACGTGAAAATTCAAGTTTGGTTGGGGTGTTTACCCGGTGTCTCCACATACCCATTACGTCGGCCTAAACAAAGAAGGCTGTGTTTCAAAAGATAGGTGTTTCAGAAGGGTTGCTAGAACCTCGGTTTCAAACCTGGGTAAGGGCTGGTAAGGTTTGTTTCAGTTTTTCCTAAAGATTGAAGGTTCTACAGACAAATCCCAAACCTAAAACTATAAAGACGAAGATCGAGGGCACAGATCTGGTAAAGACACAAAAAACAGAGAACAAAAGCGACGTTTCAGAAACAAGAACAGGGATGGGCTATCAAGAACACGAAGAATACAATGGGTTAAGGGCCAAGAACAGTGGTAAAACAGTGCAAGTGTTCATGGCATGTGAAAAATCATGAAATAAGACGCATTCAGGTGAATGATTCACAAATAATGCTTAAGAAGAACAGTAATAGCAAGAAACTTCAGAAACAATCAAGAATTAGAAAAAGAGGGTAAGGGGGCCAGTTGCTTACCGGATAAAATGAAGCCGGAGCGATATTCGCCGAGATCAGACGACAGTTGTAACAGTGGCAAAAGCTTCACGGGAATGGAAGAATAAAGACGGTCGCAGAATTTGGGGCTTAGAGCAATGGCAGATTCGAAGAATGCTAGAGCTTTTAGAGAGAGAAAAAACAAGAAATCAGAATGCAAAAAGTGGAGAAAGGAAGAGGGAAAGAAAAGTTTTGTAAAAAACTTGAAACGGCGGCAAAAAACGGCATTTATTACACCTGGAGGAACGCGTGCATCAGATGGCGCAGACGGATGGAAGACGGCTTACAGGCGCGTCGCGGACACGGGCCAATAAGGATGTAATGCATGAAAAAAAACGGATGAAAAGTGATGTATGACAGCTCGTACGCATAAAGGGATTCATTTGAAGTTCTTATTCTCCGATGAAGACATGTGGGCCTAAAAGATCTCGGCCAAAGAGCTCTTACGCCGAGGGAATAGAAGAAAATACGGATATAGGTTCCATCACCTCAGAATATCGAGGTAATAGAACCTAGGGGGCAGTTGTGGGGATATATTTTCTGAGTACCAACACGTGGCATGATGACGTCGACGTGTCAGCCGAGGTGCCACGTGTCGTGGTAGCTGTGCCGAGGTTATCTCTGAAGATATCGGAATCCGAGATAAGCGGATAAGGGACAAAAGTCCTAGATAAAAGAGAAAACTTTGCTAAGATAAAGATAAACTCCCTAAGAGTTTTATCCTTAGGGAGTTTATCTTTATCTCTTGAGGAATCCAAAGTAAGTATTAAATTGGACTCCATAGAAGTCAGGCTTCTAGTGGGACTAGGATTGAGTAAACTATAAAAGAGAGGCACCCCCATGGGTTTAAAGTACGCAGTTTTATACTCAAGCTTGTGAGTTTAGCACTTGATTATCTTTGAGAGATATACTGACTTGATCGTCGGAGTGTCCCCGGATGGAAGAGCCACCGCCGAAGCCTTTTCTTTCTGTTGCAGGTTTGCTGAAGCCATCTATTCTGCTAGTATTCTCCAGCTGATTACTAGACGGGCAGTGTGGTAAGAAAATTACCCACACAGTACTACAAGACCTATTTTGATGCTGGGGAATTTGGGTTTGGCTCCTCAACTATTTCACTTCAACCTCACACTGATTGCCCTCCAAATGCCGTCTTTATGGATTGGTACTATGCCAATCAAGATGGAACCCCAGTGAAAATTTCAAATGTCTTTTGTGTGTTTGAACGCTATAGTGGTGATGTTGCTTGGCGCCACACTGAGGTTTCTATTCCTAACGAAGAGGTAACTCTTTTTTGGTGCAAATTAATTATATCAATAGTACCTATATTTTTCTCGTTATGTCATTTTAATTTTTGTAATTTTAATTAGCTTAATTTTTTTTTTTTAATTTTAGATTTTGTACCAACGTCTAATTGATAATGTCGATTAGGATTTTTAATGAAATATGGTAATTGAGTTAGTGAAGATTAATTCATTGAGTTTAATAAGTTTATAATTTTACCTATAAAACCATTAGATATGTCGTTTACGCGAAATTTTTTTTAAAAAAAATTATAATTAATGAACAAAATTGAGATAAAATTATAAATTTATAGTTAAAATCGAGACAATTAAAACTATATGGACCAAAATAATATAAAGATCAAAATATAAAGACTAACAATAATTTTTTTTTTTTTTCTTTGGAAGAGGGAAAAAGATAGATGACCCTACACATGAATGTAGCGCCTGTTTATTTATTTATTTATTTTGGTAGAGATCTATGAATTGTTTCTCGACGGTCCACTTTGCAGATGATGATTTGATTTTGCAGATAGTAGGGGTTAGGCCAGAGATTAGCTTGGTAGTTCGGTCCGCAACAGTGGTTGGTAACTACGACTACATCATGGATTGGGAGTTCAAGCAAAGTGCTCCATCAAAGTTTGGGTAAGAAATTTCTAGTGTCAATTAGGGTGATAATTACAATTAAATTAAAAAATAATACATACAATTAAATTTATATATTTAAACTTTAAACGAAATAATTTTATTTATAAGATTAATGAGATATATGAACATAATTTTTGTATAGAATTTTAATATAAAAAGATGTGATCTCTTATAATTTTTTTATTCCAAATCAAAATTCTTATCACTTTGACTCATATTTCAAAACATGTGTAAATATTCTATTTGTAATGCAATTTTTGTCATTGCACGGGTGGGCACACGACTACGATGGAATTCTCAACTCACCTTATAATTTTTGACTAGATGGGTCTTTTTGTTTTAAAGTGATAAGATTAAGACTTCTCACATTTATATGAATTTTATATATAATTTTGGGCGAATTACATTACCAATTCTTATGGTTTGAGACTCATATTATTTTGGTCTCTGACATTTCAATTATAATACATTTGACCATGAATCTTGTTTTGAATAAGGATAATTGAAGATATTATTGCTTAATTTCAAGAGCAAATTTAATAAAATATAAACTAATTTGACAAAAATAAATATCAAAAAAAATTAAAAATTTTTAAAAATAATTTCTATCCATCAAAGATAAAATTATGTAAAAATGATAAATCTTTTAGACATTTTTTTATTTTTTTAACCAAATTAATTTTTACTATGTGTTTGGATGATAATCATGTAATGGATGGTTGTTAGACTTTTAATGTGTAATCGATATATTTAATATATGAAATATTTTAGTTTTAGATTTTTAATTTAATGGATTGATTTAATAATAATATCAAAATTATCACCATATTTGACTTTTAAAAAAATAGAAACTAATTTAATGAAAATAAAAACAACCAACCATTACATGATCATCATCCAAACACATAATAAAAGTTAACTTCATAAAAAAAAATGTCAAAATTTTGTCAATTTTACATAATTTTGTCTTTAGTGGGTAGAAATAATTTATAAATATTCAAAAATATTTTTTTGACATTTGTTTTTGCAAATTAGTTTATATTTTATCAAATTGATGACTTTGCTTTTGAAATTGAGCAATGGTATCTTCAATTGTTCTTATTTGGAATAAGATTTAAAATTCAAGGTTAAATGTGTCAGAATTAAAAAGTCAAAGACCAAAATGACATAGGGACCAAACTATAGGGACCCATCAGTGTAATTTGCCCTATAATTTTTATGTTAAAAAAATAAAAAATAAAAAATAAAATTCTATATGAATATCATTTTTTCATGTTTAATTAACGTTTTTTTTTTTATAAATATTTTTAGATAGTGTGTTTAATTAATGTTGAACATACTTCTTTTGCCATTGAAAGATAATAACACATTCCCTTTTATTTTGGTATTCTATTTTTCTAGGCGAGCTTAAGTGGTATAATAGAAGCCAAAGCTTCATTCTACGCCAATGCGCAAGAGATTGGCTTCGTTTGGGAAGTGGCTATTTTTTAGATTTTTTGGCTATTTAATTATTTTAGTAGGCTATTTTAGTTTTTATGTTTGGGAAGATATGATGAATTTTAATTTGAGTTGTTGTATAGAAAAATGTGTTTGAAATGATGTTTAAATTGAAATGACAAATTTGTCCCTCACTTTATTTTTTTCGAAATTACTATGTAGGGGTAATATTGTAATTGCACCTGTTTGCAGCCTACACTGTTGGTGGCAGTGTAGGCTGCGTGCTGCAGCAGCCGAATCATTTGACTTATTATTTTTTTTTTTTTGAAAATCATGCACAGGTGAGCTTTTTGGCTATTTTCTCAAATGTGGCTAAAATAGCCTAACCCAAGGCTTCCCAAACACCCCCATTAAAGAGGATGTTTATGGCACACTTGTAGCAGAAAACACCATTGCCACAAACCATGACCATTTCCTCGCATACTATCTTGACCTCGATATTGATGGTGGAGAGAATTCCTTTGTCAAAGCCAAGATGAAGACGATGAAAACAGATGCACTACAAAAAAAAATTATTTTTTGCGACGACAAAATGCCGTCGCAAATAATCTAAACGCCGCCTCAAAAGCTATTTGTGACGGTAAATTTACTTTTTGCGACGGCAAGTGGGAGCCGCAACAAGGGGGGTTGCAAAAGACTTTTAGAGACGGCAAGTGCCGTCGCCACTGTTTTTGCGATGGGAATATTTCTTTTTTGCGACGACATATTTCTGTCGCCGATAATGGATGAAGATCTGGGCTTTTTTGCGACGGCACAAGCTTTCCGTCGCTAAAATAGGTTTTTGCGACAGTAAAATTCCGTCGCAAAAAATGTCGGCGCTAATGACTATTAGCGACGGCAATTGTACCGTCGCTAAAGCCTTGTTTCTCAAATAAATTCCATACCTTTTGCGACAGTATGGCTGCCGTCGCAAAAAGCCTGGCACAATTTTTTTTCTTTTTTTTTTTTGCGACGGGGTGTTCTGCGACGGGGTGTTCTGCAAATGATATAATAATATAAATACATAAATTAAATAACTAATTTTGGCAAATGAAAAATAGCTAAAAAAAATCGAAAAATTACATAATAATATAAATCCATACATAAACAAAAGTTGGCAAATGATGAAAATTCATAATGTTGGTCACATAATACATACATAATGTTGGTCACAAATTTAAATAACATAAATCAAAATCAAAACCAAAAGTTTTCGTCTTGATTCTTTCGTGAGTTACAAAAACAGAAGTTGGTCATAATCTTTACACGCCCACATTCCACACGAAGCAAACTGCTACTCAGGAAATATCTGAAAAAAAAATAAAAATAATTAATAACAATATAATAGTGTCAATATTTTAATTACAGAAAAATATAAAAAAATTAACTACTATATAATTAGAAAGATAGTTTAGTAAATAATTTTGACTAGCCTAAAGTGAAATTCGGCTCTAACTCCCAAACTGGGAATCCGATTCGAGCCCCGTCTTCTCCCACAAGTCTCTCGTGCCTAGGTGGTCGTGTGTGCCAAGTTTCGTGCTAAACCGACGCCGTTTGGTGATTTTGGGGGCGTTAACTCCTCGAATTCAAATTTCTTAAGGAACTAGTTTGCCTAAAGTGAAATCTGACTCTAACTCAAAAACTGGGAACCCGATTCGAGCCCCGTCTTCTCCCACAAGTCTCTCGTGCCTAGGCAGTCGTGTGTGCCAAGTTTCGTGCTAAACCGACGCCGTTTGGTGATTTTGGGGCGTTAAAGCCTCGAATTCAAGTTTCTTAAAGAAGTAGTTTGCCTAAAATGAAATCCGACTCTAACTCTTAAACCGGGAACCCGATTCGAGCCCCGTCTTCTCCCACAAGTCTCCCGTGCCTAGGCGGT